CCTTACAATACACTAGACAGACTGACTTGGAATGGGAACAGGCAGAGTTCTGGCCTAGGATGTTAGCCTTGGAGAGGAAGCTAGGAACATCAGCTGTGCCACCTCAGATCTCCAAACACTTCAACCATCAAATTACCATCAAGTCTGTGGCCTGCCCTTGGGGACAGCATACATAAGTAAAGAGAAAGTAATAGGCCCATACTGGAGTAAAATACTCCTAGCTCCCAGGCCACTTTCGAAAGACACACAGGTCCTCCTATTGACAGCCAATAATCCTGTTTTTAGGCTCCAAAGTCAAACAATACTGCACAAAAGGGAACCTTGGGTCTCAGAACCTGACTTCATTATGAGCTAAAAGAAATCAAAGCATAGACAGGTTGGCATATCTGCTTAGAAGTCAAACCCAGCTACTAATGATTCAGTTATCTCAAGACACAATTATGCATGCATACGGTCTTTCTGTCTCCCCATGCCCCACAGGGTTTCACAGTGTAGCTCAGGCAGCCTAGAACTCACTATGTGGCCCAGGCTGGCCTTAAACATAAAACAGTTCTACCTCAGCCTCCTGAGTGCTGAGATTACAGGCACAAGCTTAACCCCTTCTATTGAGCTGGGGCATTGCTTCTCAGTTACCTCACGGCTGTCTAGGCCAATCCAAGCCCTGAGACTGGAATTGCTAGGCAGTGGGTAGGGCATGGAAATCTGTCAAACCTCTCTTGAGATCCCAAGGTATGAAGGCTGGTAAGATGGTTCAAGGGGTAAACACACTTGCTGTGCAAGCCTGATGCCCTGAATTTGATCCCTAGGACCTACAGAAAAAGGCCTAAGCAGAAGCTTTCATCTGTAATTCTAGTGCTTCTATAGGGAGATGGGCGGTGGAAACCAGAGAACCACCTGGAAGTATGAAGCTAAAGCATACAGCAAAAAACAAGAAGGGAGACCCAACATTGAAAACAAGGAGAGAATCGGTGCCCAAGAGCTATTCTCTGACTTGCTCATTCTCTCTCTCTCTCTCTCTCACACACACACACACACACACACACACAACTACTACAATGACTACTACTACTACATTTAAAAATATATTCCAAGGTGCAGCTAAGATTGGAATCTACCTGATTTGGGGGGAAGGGCTGATGTCTGGATTTTAAAGCCATTGCTTAAAATCCTTTTATGAAGATTGGAATATCTGTTATTAATAGAAAATTAAGGAAAAGGCTACCAGAAATCATAACCTTTTTAAAAGAAAAACAGAAGTATGTGTACAGTAGCAAAGTGTAGATTTTTGTATGATTCTCTGACTTAGCCTTCAGGCAAAGCTCTATCCATCAAATATATAGTCATGTTTTGTTTTGTTTGTTTGTTTTTTTTGGGGGGGGGGTCTTTCTGAGACAGGGTCTCCTTGTAGCTCCAGCTGTCCTGGAACTCACTATGTAGACCGGGCTGGCCTTGAACTCACAGAGATCCGCCTGCCTCTGCCTCCCAAGTGCCGACAACCAAGAAACAGGTGTGTGTTTCCACCTGTCTGGAACTCTGCTTCCTGGAAGCTACCAGAAAGCCATTTGAGAACACTGAAATTGTTGGTCAGCTTGGTGATAACTGAGTAAATTCTTCGAGGAACCACCTAACCAGTGCCAACAATGCAAAACACATGTAATTAATTACTGGTTCAAGGATTGCCCCACGTTCTAAGTAGAAAAGAGTTTCACAGAAACTCTTTTAGAGCAAGGTGCTAGGCCAGTATTTGTCCAAATAGAAAATAACCTTTTCTAATAAAAGTTTTCATTCACTTTATAACAGTATGAGTCTCTCTAGTAAGATCATCTTAAATTAATGATATACAGTTATTTTTATAGACATTTTAACATATTCTACTGAAAACAAATCTCACATTATCTGTTACAAAATAGCTTCTGAAATTCTCAATGAATTAGGAGTTCAGGTCAATAGTTTCTTTTCCTTTAAGACTAAGATTAAGGATTCACGAAAGATATGTAAATGAGTTTTTTCTGCAGGTAAGTCAGACTGAAGTGCCAAAGCCACACCTCACTCAGAGGGATGGTTCTAGTGAAAGCAGAAATGATCAGGCTTGCTGGAAGGTCTACCAAGGATCTACCAGGCTGCCAGCTGTCTTCCTACACAGCTATTTGCTCTGGGGACTGGGATCCCTCAACCCAGTAGGATTCATGTCTTCACCTACTATAAACCTTATAGGACTCCATGAACCCACAATGGGTACATACCACCTCCCACCCCCATGCTGAAGTGCCACACCTCAGGATGGAGAGAAGGGGAGGATCAATTGAAAGTTCTGTGTCTTTCTCCTCCAATATCATCCCCCTGGACTAAGCAGTCTCCCTCCTAGCAACCCTAACATTGACCACAGTCCACCCCTACCTGGCCTGCCTCAGGGCTTCCTCTCTGGCCCACCAGTCTTCCTTCTCCACAAGCCATTCTCCACTCAGTTACAGTAGCACCTGAATGTGGCCCTCTGGGCACCCTTCCCTGGCATCTCTCAGATCCACTTCAGCACCACTACACCCTGGCATCAGAGCCCCAGCCTACTGCTTTTGCAAGGATGCCAGACACACAAAAATCTCCCTGAGGAGCCTCCTCCTGTCAGCCCAGTCTGAGTTCTTCAAAGGCCATCCTGGGCTACTGCATCTGTATCCTCAGTGAGTGTCTTGCACCCACAGTATCCCCAGAGCCCTTTGCTGGACCCCTGGGAGGCTCCTGATTCTACTCACGGACTCTGGCTTGGGCTCACTGGATTCTAGATGCCAAAGCAAGGCTACTTCCTTGCTTGTCCTCAGCATCAGCATCTCAACCTTCAGCATCTCAACCCCATACCAAGTCTAGAGCTCAGGGTGGGCAGCTCCTCCCAAGGGCTTCTAGCTACAAGGCTTCCTCCTTAGCTCCAGCTTCTGGCTGTTGCTCATGGTTACTTGCCTGAACACCTCTTATAGAGTTCCTGAGGCTAGCTCAGTTAACCAGTTCTTCAGTGAAGCCACCCAAAGCACCAGTGTGTGACCCTGTTAGGATCTGGCTGCTCCAGCCAAGGCCTCCACCTGTCACCTACATCTGTTCCTGCTCTGCATCCTCTGTATTTAACAAATCTGTCAGCCCTTCACATCCCCAGGTTCCACATGTGCAGACTGAAGCAATCTTAAACCAAAAGTTTTTGGAGAAAGAAAATTGCATCCACATAAATATATACAGACTTTTCTTCTTGTCATTATTTAAAAATAACATATGGTATAACAACTATGTGTACAATCTATTAGGTATTATAAGTAGCCTAGAGATGAGTTAAAATATGTGGGGGGACGTGCATAGGCTATATGTGAGCACCATGCTATTTTATATAGGAAACTGCCATGCACCGATTTTAGTATCAGGGGGTTCTGTAGAACCAAGAATCCATCACAGACACAGAGGGATGACTATGCCCACAAATACCTTGTTTACTTCCTTTTTTCCTATGGCTCATCCATCAGCTCCTCACTCTCCAGAACCCAAGCTCCGTGAAAGCAGCAAGCTTAGCGAGCTTGCTGCTCTTTCCTCTGAGCCTGAAACTATGTGGAAGCCGGTATCAATCAGTTACACAGAACGGATGGATGGATGGATGGATGGATGGATGCTGGTCCAGTGTCTGCACTCCAAGCATCACCTTATTCCCAAGAGTTTCACTGTTCATCCAATGTACAGTCAACTCCTTCCTCCCTCAGACCTCTATGCCTCAAGCCCTATTTCTCCCTATAGCGCCATCATCTCCTGATACATCTGATATTTATTGTCTGTTTTCCTGGATCAAACATGTCAGCAAAGTTTTCAGTGCTTGGCGCTGGGTACATAAGCCAATGAACTACAGTTGAAGGCCCCAGTGGGGCCACCATTGTGGAAGAGTGCGTGGTGAGCTTAAGTCTCATTTGTTTATACTTTATATGCCCGGAAAGGATTGATAACGGCCATGTAACCTTCTGGGCACCCAGGCAGAGTCCTCATCTCTCTCTAAACCCTTTCTTCTCTCTGGTCACTATTTCAAGCCTCCTAGGCGATCGATCCTAGGAGGAAAGAGATCCTCTTTCCTTGGAGCAAGATCAGGTCACTATGAGATGGCATTAGGTATTTGGTGCCCAGCAATTCATAGTTTTAATGGAAAGATCCCAGAACTGAATTGTATGAAGACCTAGTCACCTCACTGCTATTCATTTGGATGTTTAAGACTGCTGTGGGCACTGTTGTGGGATGTGCAGATACAGCAGCCGATAAAATAGCACTTCTGCCTTCAAGGCTTAAATTTAACAAGTGCTGGACCCCTGGAGATGAAATATCACTTAAGTGTTCCCCACCCCCAGCTGCTAGGGAGCCCCCTGGGGCTTGAGCCAAGGCTCTGCATTTACTCAGTAGAGGAGGGGTTCACCTCATTCATTGGGAGGAAGGAAGAAACAGACGTGGAAAGGCGACGTGACTCACTGTTCATAAATAGGACGATGGCTCTGCATTCTCAATCTGCACTACTGGAAGAAAAGCCAGTGTTTGGGTGAGGATGGTGGTTGCTCTTTATGGTGCGGCTGGTTGGCCAGTTTTGGTTGAATGGTGTCGAGGGGGAAGGGGACCCATTTTTAAGCCTGAGGATATTCAGCTCCATTAAAGGAGTGACATGCCACCACCCGGGACACTCAGTACATTGGGAGTTCTCCCGCTCCCCACCCCTCAATCCACACAATTTAGACACTCTGGGAAGACGAGGAGGCAGGTATGAGTAACCAATGATGGCAGTGGGGAGGAGGAATTGATTTCAAATCGACGATTACCGTGCAGAATAAGAGCTGGACCGTGTAGGCGGTGCAGAATGAAACCTGCCTTCCAGAGCTGCCCGAACCGGAGCAGGGTCCCGCCCCATCTCCGCCCCGCCGCTGCCCCGACCCCGACGCCACCCGCGCAGCCTCCCCGCAACAAGTGTCCGCCCTCCGCCCCGACGGCCGTGCGGTCCTCACCTGGCACAGGCCGTCCACGAACACGCGCGGGTCCAGGTGGCCGGCGATGATGGCGCTGGGCAGGTCCTGCAAGTCCAACTCCTCCATCTCGCAGTGGATGAAGCTCCAGTCGCTGCCGCCCTCGTCCGCTTCCGTCGCCCCTGAGAAGGGCGCGAAGGGCCGCAGCGTCAGCCCGGGTCGCGCCCGCGCCTCGGCTGCCTCCGCCGCCGCCCCGAACCGCTGCCCGGCCACGCCGTCCTCCATCCCCGGCGCCGGCACTCCGCTGCGGGCCCGCGGCGCTCCTCCTCGCCGCGGCCGCCGGCTGCAGTTTAACCCCCTCGGGATCGCACTGCTGCCCGCTACCCGCGGGCACCTCGGCTCCCAGGACGCGGCTTCCGAGCGCCGTCCCCGCCGGCCTCCGCCCCACGCGGGAGGGGCAGCCGGCCCCCACAACGCCGCGCGCGCCTGGCCCGAAGGCGCCGCTGTAGCCGCTGTCCCTTTAAGGCCGGGCCTCAACGATCGTTATGTCCTGCCCTTTCAGGAGAGAAGACCAATAGTCGAGCAGAGTTCTTGTCACGTGATTCACACTCACCGCCCTGAGCCTGAAGCCCAAGAGCGGCCATATTTGTTTGGGGCAAAGGCCTCTAGACAGTTCTGCTTTTCGGACAGCTGGCGGTGCCTGTTGAAGGACACCCGGCAGCCTGTTGGGCCCTAGGAATGACAACCGGGAGCCTAGTGCTTCTGAGGTTCTAACACAGTGACACATCAGCCAACTTTGGGGGGACAGACTTAAACGAATAGTCAGAGTGTTCTGTGGCCATTTTTAGCAAATGGGTAGATACTACTTAACTGTACATTATCACGTAAAATAAGGTTTGAATTAGACCATGATAAGTGCCTTATTTTCATACTTCAGCTTACTAATCATGATATCATTGTCCAACATTTATACAATTAGAAGTATTTTTTATTAATTTTTTTGTCAATACAAAAAATAATGGGTTTCATTAATAATTTTTCATACATATATATCATTGTGTATTGTTCATGTCTGCCTCCCTTTGCCATCTCCATCCTGCTTCCGACGCTCTTTCTTCCCCCTGAAAAATGCTTTCATGTTTGTTTTTTTAAGTACCATGTGTGTTGTATACAGTAAGAGATAAAGACATTGGGCCTTGCTAATCATGGAAGCAACCAAGGTGCTTATCAGCTGGTAAGTGGATACACAAAGACTATATCCATACAGTGAAATAATAGCTGTAAAAAGGAAAGAAGCATGGGTGTTGTCACTACTTGGTGGTGTTATTGTCTGGGATCCACAAATGCCCCAAACAGATAGGTGAGTCTGGAGAAAGAAAGATTTATTATGGCCATGCTACATGGTCAGGATATACTTTTTCCTAGAGGGTCCGAGTGTAGCACCGAGCCTAAGCACTCTGGCTTTTTTTATATTGATCATGTTGCTAGGCAAGCAAGCAGAATACAGAAGCCAATCATTGAGCATTAAGCTTGAGCAAACATTATCAAGGAAATACATAAGAAAATACAATTTTCCATCCAAACCCCCCACCTTCATGGAACTAGCTTCCTCCTCTTTTATAAACTGATGTTATCAATCTTACTGTTATTCTACTTTGTCTTTACCAGTCACAAAGTTCCCTTGGGGGGGGGGTGTTGTATAGCAATTGTATCCTAGGAAACGCTAAATGTTGTGGGGTACTTTTTGTACAGAGAAACTGTAACCAGGAGTGAAAAGTTTAGGTTCCCAAGCATACAGATGGAGAGTCCCCTAAATAATTTCTATTCTATTAAGTAACAATTACTATTTTGTAGAAGCAAGCCAAACATAACTTACAGAAACCATAAATCAGCAGTTAGCAGGAGCACTCTAGGATGCTCTGGCCTGTTCCCAAGACAACCAGGGTCTAACTTGCATGTGTTCCTTTATCCTGGGCCAACTTAATCTCAGAGACTAGAGTCAGCCTAAACTTTAACATGGCATAGCTATGGTCAAGAAGGTGCCCTATTACAGTGGATCTCAGAAATGTGGGTCCTCGTATGCTAAGCGAAATAAATCATACACAAAATGTCACATGTTCCATTTAGATGTAATGTTCAGATTGTGCAAATACACAGGGACAGAGAACAGATTAGTAGTTGCCAGTGACTGATGGGGAGGGCAGTAGGGAGTGAGTGCAGATGGATAAAGCATGTCGTCGAGGAGTGACGAATATTGAAAACTGGCTGTGTAATGTCTGCCTACCTTGCACATGCTAAAAGTCACTTTGTTGTGCCTTAAAGGGTAAACTGAATAATATGAGACTATTCCATAAAGCTAGTATTTATTATTTTTTATTTAGAGATTTTTTGTGTGTATTTCATACAGAACATCCCAAACAATCTTATTCATCTTTATACCCGCATCCCAAATGGCACCCTCCCATAGCCTCCCCCAACTCCCACTGGAGCCCATATACTCTGTCATCCCTGTTACTGTGCACTGTGTTATCAGTGCCTCCAGTCATTACCCAGTGCTAGTCCACCTGCTGACTCTAGTCAGCCTATTTAGAGTTCCTTGTTTTAGGAAGATCAGCTCTTCCTCATCTAGCAGCAATCAGTTGCCAACATTCCTTTAGATAAGATTGGGGTCTGCTGTTCATTATCCCAGTTCTATGCGGGGTTAAAGCTAATATTTTTAAATAGAATGTGGTAAAGGCCATGCAGGATTAGATGAAGTTCAGCAAAGAGGATGACATCACGGAGTCCGAAAGTCTCTGCGAACCCCAGCCAGACACTCTGAAAAGGGTAGCAAAGGGGACTAGGCACCAGTTTTGGAAAAACAACAGTCAGCCAACTAGTTGCTGGGTGGGTCTGTGTTGTTTTCATCCTTGGGACAGGGCACTGTTTCATGGTGGCTTACCATAAGCCATTTGTGGCACACAAAGTGGGCCTGCTGGGCAAAGGGTGTGAGGGAAAGAACACACCACTGAGACTGAAAACCAAGATACAGCAGAGTATGTCATCATAGCTGGCTCTCGGCTGTAGCACTGAGGCAGGAGAAGTGGGAACAACCTTAGTCGAGTGGCAAAGACAAGCTGATATGTAATGTAATTAATTTTGGGGTGCTACTCAGACATAATGGAAGTCAATTTCTACCCGCCCCCCGGGCAGCAAAGTAAAGACAATGGCACTTCCTAGTTCACCAACCGGATTAGTTTTCCCAATAACACCATTTAAAAATATTATTAATGTGTATGTGTGTGCATGTCAGTGCGTGCGTGCATGTGTGTGTGTGTGTGTGTGTGTGTGTGTGTGTGTATACATGTGTTTGGGTGCCTGAGGCCAGAAGACAGTGTCAATTCCCTGGAGTTACAGGTGGTGTTGAATGGTCCAATGTGGGTGCTGGGAACCCAACTGGGGTAGTGTGAAAGAGCAACAAGCGCTCTTAATCTCTGAGCCATCTCTCCATCCCCGAACCAATTTTTCTACTGCAGGATTCCATAGATGGATTATGGACTAGCTCGTATCCTCAAAGACAAGTGTTACTACTGCAGTTCTTTAGAATGGAGGCACTATGAGTTCGAACACCTTTCCCACAAGCAAACAGGCAATGAACAACAAAGCAGAACCCAACCTTTCCCAGGCTACCTCTGCCCCTTGGTTCTACAGCAAACAAAAAGATAGGAAGGGACCAACGAATCATGGCCCAAAAGTAGAGAAGAGGGAAAATACAGGAAAGGAAAGAGGAAGGTGGGAGATTGAGAGAAGATAAATAGCTTAAAGCTGGAAGTAGGTAGCAGGGGTGGTGATCCTCAGAGAAAGCTCAGCCTCCCCTAGCACAGGCTGCCCCCGAGGGCATGCCCTCCGAACCTGGGCCAGCACTGGCAGGATGTGCGTGAGACAGCTCTCAAAAATACCACATCAGAAAGCTATGAACCAATAGGATTAGCATCATGCCTTCCCCAGCTAGGTAGCCAAGATTCGTCTCTCATGCAGGAGACGTATTTAGTAATAAAATGTCCCATTTCTCTTCCCATGTAGAACATAGCATTCTGTAGTAACTGGCATCTTCACTATGACTTTTCAATTTAAGCTTAATTAAGCTGTGCCTTATGCTTTCAGTGACACTGAGTATCAACAATCAATAGCTTCTCCCAGGGAGGAAAAACTAGAGAATGTGAGCTGTCAACAGCACAGGAAGAAACGAAGCAAAACATCCCTGGAGTGAACCGAATGGCAGCCATTTCTAAGGGGAAATCAACCAAACTTGGGAGCAATCTTTCCAGAGGCCATGACACCATAAAACAGGAATGATTTGCTCCCCCAGTCTGAGAATCATTCACAGTATCATCTTTACTGATTGCAGCAATAAAACCTAAGATCTATCCATTATCAACTAGAGAAACTTTGTCTCTCATTGATGCCAGATCAGCTGCTGGGAGCTGATTTGATGCAGATGGGAAAAGAACCAGAAAATGGGTAGGGGTATTTTAATTAGCATATCTTCCATCTTGTCATTATTTTTTTCTCCTTTCACTTCTTTATGTCAACCATCACTATTACTCAGTAGAAAAGGAGAGGAGGAACTCAGAAAGCCACGTTTGGTTATTTTTGTTCCTAGCACCTGCCTCTTCCTTCTCCCATGGCCCAGTTATTCAAACGTGGCCCTGAGGGATGAGCCAGCTACTCGTTCGCCAGGTGGAAAGCTTCATAATGCCTTCAATTGCTTCCTATTCTGTTCTGGAAATTGAAGGAGGCCTATGTGCAATAAACATTTGTTGAATGTTTACTAAATGAACCGAAGGCATTTCTGTGTACTCTGGGAAATTACATTTTCAAATCTTACTTACATTGGAAAGTAAATGACTAACTTTTGACTGAATTTTCTAGTTTGTTGCATTAAAATGAATTAAAATACCATGTTATTTTGTTGTTTATATTTTGCTTTGCTTTACTTATTTATTTGTTTGTTTATTCTTCCATTTTCATATATGTGGGGGATGTGCATTTGTGTGTATATATGCATGCTTGCATGTGTGAGTACGTGTGTGTGTGTGTGTGTGTGTGTGTGTGTGTGTGTGTGCATGTGGAGGTCTACCCAAGGTTGATGTTGAGAGTTTTCCTTATTCATCCTTCTGCCTTATTCTTTGAGGCAGGGTCTCCTAATCAATTCCAGGCTCACTGATATGAGGAGTCTCACTAGTCATCTTGCTCTGTGGATTTCCTGTCTCTATTTTCCAAGGCTGAATGCCTTGCCCACCTGGCTTTTACATGGGTTCTGGGGATCCGAACTC